CTCCTGTCATTCAAACAAGAGGCGCTGAGAGGGGGCGGGGCGTATCTCCAAGTAAATTCTATGGGAGATACCAACTACAACAAAATGAACATATTTGACCGTGATTTAATTGTAATACACGTTTCAAAGTGATGCCGAAGTAACTACATACTGATAACGGTTAGTAAAAACCATGAATTAACGCTTTGACAAGTCTGCAGATAAGACGGCAGGCGAAAAGCTTTTAAAATGCGTGTTTTCTGAATGGAATCGGATCCATCAGGCTAAACTAACCTGTAGCTGCTCCGTCCACACTCACAACAACATCATACAGACATAAATAAAGCAGCGACTGTATTCGCCATGACACAGACAGTCTGTGGTTTGTACATGTTTAACTTTTGTCCAGTTTCTGAACAGATATGAGGAGCTGTGAGCTCTGAGTGTGTGCTAACGGCTGATGTGTTGGGACATATTTCGCTGTCGGGTGTTGACCAATCACGAAGCGTCATTTCTTGACTGGCAGCAAAAACAACCAATCACAGCAGTGCTTCTCTGGCTGGCTCTGTCCAATCACAAACAAGAAGTGTTCTCCCTAAAGGAATACCCTTTCCATCCAATGTGAGATGCTGTGGTGTTTTGTGAAATGCTGTAGTGTCTTGCACTTCAGGGCCACCGTAGCTCTGTGCTATTTCTAGCTAATAGTGATGCTAATGATAGCTAATTCCTTTTATAGTAGTATGTGTGTCGTTTGTACAGTGCTATATGTTATGTAAAGCGTGCACACTTATGTGTTTTATTTCTGTATTGTTACAGTTTTACAAAGTAAAAGAAGAACAGTAACGTCAAGAAAGAAAACCTTGCATCTTTATTGGAGGACTTTTAAATGTTAGCTAATTGTCTAGCTACGCATAGGGATATGTGCGTAAGGGCAGAACATGCTGTGTTGATTTATTTTAAAGTAGGCGAGGCCTGTGTATTTTTTTTAATTCTCCTTATAAGAGTTATTTGTTTATTATTAGAGGTTAACAGTTTTCTATTATGTAATAAATAATAAATGCAAAAAAACTGCAGTTTTTGTCAATGATATAACAATATATACAACTTTATAAGCTATCAAGCCATCAAATATGTTTTGCAGCTCCAGACAAAATATATTGGTGAAAAAGGGGGCAAAATGGCTCTTTTGGTAAAAAAATGTGCAGACCTCTGTGTTAGCCTTTTCCACAATTCTTCGTTTTCCGAGGCTAGGAAGGTTTCTTGCCTCGCTTCTGAAGCAAGTGACTCGGGAAGACATGTGCTACCAAGCAAGCGTCCTCGACATTGAGAAACACCCTCTGTTTCGCGAGCATTGGGGGGGGGGTTTGGGGGGTGCTAGTGGAGCCTCTAATCTTCAAGTAGGGAGGGACGGCCCTGGTGCTGTATCTTACAATATTAGCAATATCTTATTCTTAACCGTTGTGTTGTGTTCAAAAGCTGTTACCGTTCATGGTGTTGGCGGGTCAATTTTGACCCATGATTTTTCTCAGTCCAAAACACTCAAAAATAATGACTATCATCCAATATTGTTTTTATCATAACTAACTTATTATGCATTCACAACCGTACAATGCTGTTGTAATTTTATGTTATGGCCCCAAAAAACATTACACCACATATTTAAGTAAAACATGTGATTCAATTCACTCATTATATTTCCTATAGTGAAGACAGTGGATCATTACGTTATCTGACTATAATAGACTAATATTAGAATACAATCTCCCCAAAAAAAGTTTTAAATGATTGTTACAGTGGATGAAGAGGTGTGGTGTCTAAAGTCAAAGATGAATCTTGATTGGTCCAACAAATGTTTTAGAGACCTTCAGACTTGGCTAAAATGGTCAAAATCAGTTTTGTAGTGTTTATAGCTGTTGTGGAGGATATCATGAAGCCTTGTTCCGTTAAAAAAAACTAGAGCGTAGTTATTATATAATTTTAACGTGAAACGGGTCACGGGAGACCCGAACACAACATAACTTTAAAAAACAATAACCTGCAAAAGTTCAGAACTTCGCCTCTGAAAAGTTGGCACATACTGTAGCAGACATCCAGAGCCAGGCCCCAAGACAGAAACAGACAACATGAGCTTCAAGTAGGCTACAGGATGACAATCAACAGAAGAGCTTCAGAGAAACTGCAACACAGATACTTGGAACAATCTTTATTTGAAGACTAACTATACACTTAATATAAGACGATGATAAAGATCTTAGATGCACCTGATGTTGAATCCTCTGAAGTCCCTCCTCTCTGTCCACATCAGCTGACCAGAGGGCAGAGGTTCACAGCTGGAAACATCTCAGCAGCCTGTTGTTGCTTCACAAACCACAAATAAAGAATTTAAGAGTGTTTTGACACTTTCCAATGTTCCTCTTTTCGGTTATCCTTTGAAGGCTGATTTGATGCACCATTGATGTGATATTATTTATAACCTAAAACATGTAATGTACATGTAGGATCTTCAGCACAATTCCGGGATGCTTAGCTGGCTGTTTGAGATCATGTAGCTGCTACAACACAGACACAACCAATCTGACGAGGTGAACACAAGCTAATATCATTTTGTACTTGTAGTTTTAAGTTTAAAAACATAATTTGTATAGTTGTACTAATTTTATTATAATATACAACTTTTGAAGAAATACTGAAAACATGATTGACATGAAATCAGGCAATCATAGGAAAAATACTCGGCTAAGTGTAGCCTACTACTGTTTGTTCTGTTTCTTGAAGCCTGTTGATAACATTTACATGTGTGTAATCCCCTATGTTATATTCTCAGAATATTCAAAATTCTAAATAATGACTCTTTTAGCACAAATAGGCCAAAGTGCCGTGTCCCAAGTCATGTTTGCTCAACTTCCATAACAGATATAAAAAAAGCAATCAAACAAATTCTGTTTTATTTATTCATTTGTATTGTTTAAAGCAGTGGTCGCCAACCAGTCGATCGCGATCGACTGGTTGGGACCGTGATGTTAGCATCTGGTTAGCTAGCTGCACTAACGGACATAAGGAGCTGTTTCCACAACAAGCTGGAGGAGACTCCTCCCCTGTCAGACTGAGGGGCTCAGGTGAGCTAAAGGACTCTCTGAGTGTTTAGAACGGTTTTGTCACAAATTATTCAAAAGATTATTTCCGAGGCACACCTTCATATGATCATTATAGTTATACAAACAATAAGAGAATAAATGAAAAACAGGTATGAAATACTATATGGCAGTAAAACAAGAATACAGTTTGAAAGGGGAGTGATTTGTAAAATATCCATAAAGAAAAAGTAAATCTGTTTACAGTTCTGTTTCATATGGGTGCTGAGAGAAGTATCCATAGATCTCTTAATGTTGCTCTCAAAGTGCACCAGATTGATGCTTTCAACTTCAATATTTAGAAAAAATCGTCCCGGGGGAGCATGCCCCCGGACCCCCCTAGAGGAGGTGAGGTCCGCCCCCCACTCATAAAAAATAGCACTTTACCCCTGCCTATATGCTCTGAGCTGATTATGGAGCCTTCATTGTAACAGTCATTCAGATGCAATTAGCCTATAAAAGGCCTCAAATTGGAAGCACTGTCTTTGTCACTAAATTCTGCAATAGGTATCTCGCCTTTCACCTAGGCCGAGGTTGGTGATCTTGGGCTTAAAAAGGTTGGTGACCACTGATTTAAAGTGTATTGAAAAGTGTGTGTCCAACGTTTGAATGTCCCCCCTGTTACTCTGATTTAAATCCCCTGGCCATTTAATATTCTATTATTTGTATGACTCAGGAAGAAGAATTCATTTTGAGCAGGATAATCTTATTCGAGGAGCAGAGTTAGAATCACTCTTCATTTAGATAGAAATATAGTAGATAAGTACTTTATTGATCCTCTGAATTTACAGGTTTTTAAATTATTTTTAAAGAGCTTGACTATTTTGGTAAAGCATACCGTGTCCACCCTGTTATTTTTTGTGGAAACTCATATGGAAATATCTGGTTAATATATTTATCTAACTTTCATAGCACAGCTTTGCTTTACTTCTCACTTAACATAATAAAGAAACAGACCATATAGTACAGCACAAACAACACAAATGATCAATACTTACATATATTTTCACTTGTAGTATTATAATAATTGAAATGCTGGTTCTTCTGCGGGTGTTCTATCCACGCTCAGCTACCGCACCGCAGCTGCACTGTACAATCGCTGGAGCACTGGACTGTCACTCAAAAACGGAGTAGCCAATGGGGACGCACCCCTGAAAGTCCCGCCCACCTGGGAGGTTTGTGTCAGAATCTCAAACAAAAAGTGAAGGAGCGCAAACGAGAAGAGCTGCAGCGAGAGCAAAAGTCTGATCATTCAGAAAGTAGCAACAAGAACTGCAAACAAAAACCTATGTTAGAACAAAGAAAAAAATACTTATAGTTTACATGATTACACAAATGATTTGTTTGCAACGTTTAGTTTTATTTTTGAAATTTATTTGATTTTGCTTGACTCAGTTTTTTTTTCTTTTAAACTCATAGTTTTGCTTTATTCTGAGAAAGTGTTGCTTTATCTTTATGATACAAAACTAATCCCATAGTAATGGCACCGAATGCTAAATCCACGAGAGGGCAGCAGAGGAACAGCATATCAAGTGGTGGGGAATAAAGATGTCATCCCAAACTTTTTGCACATTGTCCTCTCAGAGCTGTTTTGTGCCAACCCCTACGTTTTACAATAGGCCTATATTTGAAATACGCAGGCTGATTATGTCCAGAATGTTCGACACATTCAGGTGCTTCTGTTTCAGGCTCTTGTTCAGTGCTCCTCACACAGACGTATTTCTCCTGGCAGTGTGGAGAAGGTTTGAACACACTGTTGAACGTTCAGCGTTCACAGTGCGGTCAAATCCTAATAGTTCTAACATATTTTATCCTGACAGATTGAAGGGGAGAGTTACATTCCCCCACATGACTTGAACGCAGCGCCGCTGGGAAGGGGGGGGGGGGGTGGTTTAAATGAGGGTGTGTCCCTCTCCCACGGCTCCGCCAGTGTGTCCCTCCGCTCACTGTGTCCTCCTTCACCGTCTGCTTCAGTCGTTCTCGACCCGCTGACTGCAGGCCCGGTGATGTTGGACAGCCGGTGACAGCTCAGCCTCTGCAGGAGTCTCAGTTTTTCCGGCTCGGTTCCCTTCTTTAAACACTGCACAGACCAGGAGTCCACCTGGGGTTCTGAGTTCGCTCCAGCATGGGGGACGTGATCTCCAGTCACCTGGATGAGGGCAGGCGCGAGCTGATCTCAGGTGAGTCTGCGCGGATTCTGGAGCCCTGGCTCGGCAGGGTGGCGGTTTGACACGTTTCTACTGAAGCTAGGAAACATGAAAAGACTGTAATCTGAGATCTGTCTGTGTGTGTGGTGTGTGTGTGTGTGTGTGTGTGTGTGTGTGTGTGTGTGTGTGTGTGTGTGTGTGTTGGTGTGTGTGTAGTGTGTGTGTGTGTGTGTGTGTGTGTGTGTGTGTGTGTGTGTGTGTGTGTGTGTGTGTGTGTGTGTGTGTGTGTGTGTGTGTGTGTGTGTGTAGTGTGTGTGTGTGTGTGTGTGTGTGTGTGTGTGTGGTGTGTGTGTGTGTGTGTGTGTGTGTGTGTGTGTGTGTGTGTGTGTGTGTGTGTGTGTGTGTGGTGTGTGTGTGTGTGTGTGTGTGTGTGTGTGTGTGTGTGTGTGTGTGTGTGTGTGTGTGTGTGTGTGTGTGTGTGTGTGTGTGTGTGTGTGTGTGTGTGTTGTGTGTGTGTGTGTGTGTGTGTGTGTGTGTGTGTGTGGTGATGTGTGTGTGTGTGTGTGTGTGTGTGTGTGTGTGTGTGTGTGTGTGTGTGTGTGTGTGTGTGTGTGTGTGTGTGTTCTCTTTCTTTACTGTTTGCTTACTTACCGACATACATTTGAGTTTGTCTTCTAATCGCTGTGGTAGCGTCAGATAACGCGAGATAACGCGAGGAGTGGACATCACATCACGGTAACACCGGGTCATATATACTCACAGCAGAGCTGGGGGGGTCATCTCAGTATCATACTATAAAAGCAGAGGTGGGGAAAGTACTCAGATATTGTACTTGAGTAAAAGTAGAAGTACCAGAGTGAATACTCTGTTACAAGTAAAAGTCCTGCATTCAAAATGTTAATCATGTAAAAGTACAAAAGTTGTATCATCAAAATATACTTATTATATAAAGTAAAAGTAGTCGTTATGCAGAATGGCCCATTCCAGAATATTATATTACTAATTACTTTGTATACTGCAGGGTAGAATGTGAATATCGTCCAGGTATCCTTTTATGTGTCGTTTATATTTCACATTATTAGTTAAAATCTAACTAAGTAACTAAAGGTATTAAATAAATGTAGTGTAGTAAAAGTACACCATTTACCTCTAAAGTGGAGTAGAAGTACACAGTAGCAACAAATGTCCCTCAAGTATAGTACTACTTAAGTTAATGTTCTTAGTGACTTTACACCACTGTATAAAAGTAACTGAACTGATTACTTTCCGTTACTTTACACAAATTAAACTCCAAAAAAGGAAACGATGTAAATGTTTGTCCATTTCTATGCAATGGTTAAAGCTGGCCACTAACTGGATTATCTCTTCAAAGTGACGACTGGCACAAAGCTCAACTCTCGTTTCTGTACATGTCTGTATTTTACCTTTCCTTTTCTTATCATCTGAGGATATGTTCACCTCCTCCAATGACCTTTCTGTGTTGCATTACATTTCCATTCTTCATTTCTGCATTCAACTTTAGAACACATGCAGCGAACTACCTCCTCAGGAGAAAGAGAAAAAAAGTAATGTTACAAGCCAACTGAGTACACACGCACGTGCGCGCGTCAGATTCGGAATCTGAGGTATGCATGAAAAAGCGTGCGTGATTCTGTGCGTGTCCTCCAGTCCTTGAGCTGCAGCCACACAGTCTCTGCTGCCGAGACAAGGACAGGGTCTGGCTGGCGTTTAGGGGAAGTGCCTGGATTTATCATTGACACACACACATTCACACTTCCACTCAAAGTCAATTCCTGTTAATGAAATGGGTGAAACACATGTTGTGTACTTGACTTATCAGACTTGAGGTTATCGTGTTGATCGAGGGCTTCATCAGTAGGTGTGTTGTGCCAGCTGATGATTGATGAGCAGCTGATGAATGGAGCACCCCTTACTGTGGAGAAGCCGTGTCTTGATCCTGATAAGAATAATACTGGAGTCGTATGTAACCAGTTAGCGGCCTGTTTGACTTCCATCATAACCTCGAAGGTGAGGTCAGCGTGGGGGGGGAGTTGGGGGGGGGGTCTAGTGGGCGCAGATCACCCGGATCACATGGCTAACCTCTCATTTCCTCTCTTGAAACTGGCATGAGCTCACATGTGTTGTACTGGGTACTCTCGTCAGGCGTATGCACGTACACACAGTTACATGGAAAGCAGATGTATTATTGCTTGTTTATTTGATGTTTGTTGAAAACCAATACACAACAACAAATGCACATGAACGCAAAAAGACACTCTTTCTCTTATTTACTTATTTGTGTATTTCCATTTTGTATGTTTTTGTTCTCTGATAAATGCTGTGCACTGAAACTGTTTTTATTTCTACTAAAGCAATCGGAGATAGTACTGACAATATTTGTGTTAAATACATGTCTATTCGTATTATTGTCTTTTATCAGATGCATAAAACAAGACATAAACCAACAACAACATATCAACATTATCTATCAGCCGTCCTGCTCTCGATGTTAACCCGTTTACTGGACTCTACTTTACACTCATATTTATTTAGATTTTTACACGAGTAAATACACACGTTGATGTTCTCTTTTTTTATCTCTTTTAATGATCTTGTGACCCCTCAGATTAGTATTTGAGGGTCCTGACCCATGGATTGAGACCCACTGCTCTGAGCAGCTTCATTATGGTTGTTGTAAAAAGAAACATGTGTTTCCTAATTATGGGAATCATTGCCTGGAAGATAACAAACAAAATTACAAAATATACAATGACACCACAACAAAAACATTAAAAAAAATACACAACTATTTTTGTTCAATCAATGTTTATTTATATAGCCCAATATCACAAATGTTACATTTGTCTCAGTGGTCTTCACAGTGTGTACAGAATATCAGTATGACAATACGACACCCTGATGAAATGAAAGCAGGGATCCCAAACTTCATATAATGCATAGAGTAGTGGGTGAGGGGCCAGGAAACAGGAAATCCTAATGTGGTGTGTGTTTTCTGCCCCTGTTAAACCCTACAGTTCTGGAGGGAGTGTTAGGGGCCCAACAGGCCGGCTCTGTAGCCTGAGAGGTGTAGCCCTCACCTTAAAACAAGCCTTTCTGTGCGGAGCCGGGTGTGTGTTGAACGGGCTCAGATAGAGGAAGTACCTGGGACCCCACAGAACACACACTGCTCTGATTGAGACAGAGCAGGTCCGGAATGATCTCATGAGGTCAACTTTACCAAACAGCCACAGAATGTTTCTGCTCAGGTTATTACACAGGGACTCCCAGACAAAGGGAGACAGGTAAACACACCTTTAAGTTTAAATGAATGAATCCAGATTATAAGTATCAAGTTTAGTCAGCCATTTTTCTAAACCTGTAAAATCAAGAAACAGTATTATCTGCACCATAATCTGCAGGTAAATCCTGGATCAGCGCCTTGCACTTTGAAGAGCTGCTGCAGGGAAATGTTTGAGTTAAAGCTGCCATCTAATTCCCCTGGTAAACATGCCTAAATGTGAACTCACTTGGTGCTCCACTACATCCTTTCACAAGCACAGCTGTCTTCTTTCAGCTCTAATGGGAACACAGTCTGAATTTATGAGTCAGCCTATGGGTCTATCTCAGTGGAATGTTTTTGTTAAGGACTGGGGGGCGGGGGGGCTGTCTTGTGAGTCTATTAAATAGCTGTCTCAGCTCAGCTCAGATCTCTATGATCAACACGGGCTCAAGCAGTAGACCTGCCGTCAGTGATAGGATGATCCTTGGGCTGCAGCTTTGATTAGATGACGTTGCCACAGTGAGGAAGGGCACATGGTGGCATTATCAGAGCAGAAAGCTGTAGTTAGTGTGGTATCCAGCTGCAGAACAACAGAGCCACACGAAGCAGCAGCAGCAGCAGCAGCAGCAGCAGCAGCTCACAGCGCCTCTGATATCTTCTTACCTCTAACGCTGTCATGTACTTTGTAAAGAAACCTTCTGCAATGTGACGCGGTAAAACATTAAACTGTGATTGGGAGACGTTGGCCCAGATACAATTTTATTTCAGTTACTGTTTTTAAGTTTCATTCATTAATGGTTACATTTAAATCCTCAATGTCCTAGATCATTTGTTTATTTATTTAAAGGACAGTGCACATTAATCCACATTGCTGTAAATGAGCCAGTATTAGCCAACAGGTACATTTTCAACTGTTGTGCTTGGCAAGATGTTAAATAACCACAACCAGACTAGAGAAATAAAAACATCATTAAATAGAATACAGACAACAGCAGTACAACAATAAATAGGAACAGGCAAACTTGCAAACAGATGAAATACTATCATACTATGATACAGTTCAAAGTGTTCACATTTTTGATTGCTGAAAAGCCAGTTCTTATGATAGTGGTTAAATGTATGATAGGAGGTGTTATTCCTTATCTGTATCGGTGTTGTGTTCCAGAGTGTTGATGCCCTCACAGAGAAACACTGTTTACTAAAGGAACTTTGATTTAACCACACAACTGGTTAATGTTATTCAGTTTTAATATTCCATCGTTTCTGAAAGAGCAGGGCTCGACAGTAACGGTTGCCATTGGCAACCATTCAAGAACATTTTCAACCACTTCTTGGCCTTTGGTTGCCATCAGTGGCAACCACTTTTTAACATGAAGAAATAAGGACAGCAAAATGTGCACCCCAAAAGAGATAAATGTTCATTGTTTGTTGTATTAAGAGTGATATTTAATTATTGTTGTGACCAGTCGGAACCTGATACTTAAAGGGGACCTATCATGCAAAATGCACCTTTGTACGTAGATGATGTAGATGTGTCCCTGGTGTGTCAGGGAACTCACCAAGTGTCAGAAAACTCAACCCTCTCTCTTTTTCTCCATACCCAAATCTCTAAAAACGGGGCTGCAACGGATCTGATACAGACTGATCCAGATTTTAATTATCTCTGACGTCAGGAACGAGGAGCTCCGCCTATATAGCCAACTCTCCACCTATCAGGAGGAGACAGCCACGGCCGTTGCCGTTCGAAAGCGCT